AGGTGTGGCCGTTGGTTTTCCGTTCTCCGCCCCATCCCGCCGGGGGAGGGGTGAGCGAGCGGCTGGGGCTAAACCACCTCAGTCCTTTTTGGCGCCCAACGTGGGGCACGAAAAAAGACTGTGGTGGGCACCTGGCCCTCAGCCAGGGTCAACCCACCACACAGGTTCTTCTCCATTAAACCCATCTCTTTTGCTTCACACCCACTCACAAAAACCAGTCACTTTGAGGTACGTTTCCCAGCCTTCCGATGAGAACTTGGTTGTCTGCCATGCCCCTTATCATGAAAAGCCCAAACATCTTCCCCTGCTTTGGTGTTTTTCACTTTTCCAGTACCAAGATTTGCAACAAGCCCTCTCCCCAGGAACTCTTGTCACAAGGAGGAGTTTTCTGTACTCCCCTTGCCACCCCCAGCGTGCTTTCTGCAGGGTCTCATGCTCCCCCTGCCATCACCATGCCCAGAATATCTCATGTCGGCTCTCCAGGCTCACTGTAAAAAGTTCAGCTCGCTCTGTGCTACAGGAAGGTAGAGCAATGAACAATAATTGTATTGAGTATGGGTAATGAATTGCATTTCTGCAAAGAGAAAAATAAGAGCCGCTTAACAAAGAGAATAACTTTTAATAGGCAGTTAATTTTTTTTTCTTGACACACCATGGTAGTTTCTGAACAAATTTTGCACAAACATATTTCAAAATCTTTCTCTGCTTTTTTCTACTGTCCTTTCAATATGATGAAACATGCTACAAAATACTTTAATTTTTTTTTAATCAACATGAAAATGCACAATGATTGCTTTTTTCATAGGAAACTTCAGCTGTCAGGAATCTGAATAGTTGCAGATGCCAACTAGCGTATTTTAGATGGCCTGACCTTTCCAAAGTAGGCATCCAAGACTCGTCTGCTCCTGAGCAACCCAAGTGATCCAGGAATACCTGAATGAACCACATAAGTTCAGTGCCAGCATGGAGGACACCTGTTGGTTCCCCATCTTTTATAGAGCTTCATCAAAAGTTTCTCTTGGTGCTGCTAAGATAGAGGATTATTAGACCCATCAAAAAGTGGAAACAAGAGCAACAGTCAAGCCCAGGGAAACGAACGCTTTTCAGCTTCGTGTATAAACGTGAACTAACAAATCTGCTCAATCTCTTACCATACTGCTAGGTAAGTTTTATTATTTGAGAGAGGGAAATTGGAGAGAGAAGTTCCTCAAAAGCATTGTATCAATAGCTATCAACACTTAGATCATCGTCCTGGCTCCTAGTCCTGCACTTACACCACCAGTTGTCTTCTTTCCATTCACCAATAAAACCATGGAGGTTCTTGGCACGCTACCAGAGTCAGTGGATTGAGTCTGAGCAGATGCTCACAGTAATATAATTTTCAAACATTTATAGTTCTAGAAAAGTAGGATACATGCAGGTAGAAGCACTACTTGATATTTTTGAATTGCCAGCTCTGTACAAATTAAGAGAGTCTGTAATTAGCACTTGAAACACTCTTTAAACTTCCAGAGTTATTCAATAACCCACAGGAATCCCATGCATCACTCAGAACAGAGGGAAGAAGGTTCATCTGTAAAACTGCTTATCTTGCTGATCCCTACTGTGCGCCCCAGGCTATATAGGAGACATATTTATAGCACACGTAATGCAATTAGCCAAGGAACAGGTGAAAATAAACCATGCTGCCTGCTACATAACAAGGGTCATAGTCAGTAATTTACAGAACTTCAAAGAGCCTCAGTGCAAGGTATATTCCCCCCTTCACAGAAAAAAAGCACACACTTCAGCATTTCACCCAGGCATCCCATCCTGTAAACATTTATGACAAGCAAAGTGTGTGCTATAGTGAGGAGTCTCATGGAAATCACGGAATTAATTTTCATAGTGGCAATTTGCCCAGTACTGTTTCAAGGGTCAGGCCCTGTTTGTATTTTGCTACATACAATTAAAAGAACCCTATTACCATAAGTTCAACAAAGTATGCCAACATATTCCTTCCCAAATGTGCAGAAAATGCTTTTAGTAACTACTATACAAACTTCACCTGATTTTTACATTCTCTTCAAGCTTCTTCAAAGTTTTCCTGCTTTTACTATATGTGAAAATAATAAATACATATGATATACCAGTTATTAAGCCATCAAAAAATTATGTGTCATTCCAGAAGGGACAGGAGACACTTGAGATTTAGAAGTCAAGAGCTGGTCATTAACACAAGTGTCCTGCCTGGTAAAAAGCTTCAGCTGTTCCGCATTTCCTGTAGAACTGCAACTTTGGTGAGATGTTCCTGCATATCGTGATAAAGCAGGCTGCTTCACATCTGAAACGACAAAAGTGTCTCAAGATTATTATTCCAGGTAAAGTTGTTCAGGAACAGAAGAGTAAGCTGAAATGGACAACAGAGTAAATCCACGTGGGACAGACAACAAGGAGTAAATCCATTGTCCAGGACATTGTCCTGAATTTGCACAAACAGAACCACCTCTGGGTTTTCAGTAATGTAAGCAAAATTGCATTCTGCTGCTCTAATTCAAGGGACAAAGAAGGTTATTTTGTCCTTACTGTTGGTATCAGGAAAGCTCAGTTTGTACATCCTGGGGGAAACGAGAATGGGCCAAAACCATCAAAGATGTTTTGCAAAAGAGTCTCTCCGCATTTCTGGTCAACCAGATCTCTCTCAGTGGAGCACGATGGGACCCGTTCTAGAGGGGCTTTATTCTACAATGATGGTGGAAAGCTGGGCTTCATCCGGGCCCAACATAGCTGCCTCTGTCATGTCCATCCCACATATGCTGTGACACCTAGCTCCACAGGCCATCCTTCTCCTCTACCGCCCTGCACTACCCTGGTCACACAGGTCCCTTCCCACAGCCTGCCCCTTTCCCACAACCGCTTCCTTCTCCCACCCTCAGCAAAGGACCCCATTTCCCCACAGCCAAGAGAAGCAACTCCATGGGAAGTGGAGACTGCGGTGCCTGAGAAAGCTTCGTACGTGAAGGAAATGCAGCGCCCACATGACAAACAGTGGGTTTCAGAGGTGCTCTGATGGTCTCTGCCCTCGCACGCATAAAAATACTGTCCAACACCTGCCAGTTTTGCATGTTAGCCACCAAGGATTTCAAGCCGTAATAAACCACCTCAGTTAAAGTTCTTGCTTTTGCACGATATGGAACAGATGGAGACTTTTCATGAAACCAAAGGAACTGAACACTTCTGGGTAACAAGTTCCTTTTTTCATAGGTAACTGCCTTTAAAAATGTCTTACTTCTCACACAAACAAAAAGAAAATTCACCTAGGGAATTACAACCAGAAAATGCCGACCAGTTAAAGCCAAATGCTTTGCCTATAAAGGCATACCTCTGTGAAGCAGCGGCTTCTTCAGTCCCTCCGTTTTCCTGGGACTCTGTTCGTGACGGTATGTTCAGGCTGAGCTTTGTTTAAGCCATTGCCCTTTGAGGCCGCCACCAACTGAAGTCATTGCTCCTTTTGTTTAGTTACCAAGGCACAATACTGAGACTAACAAGTATTACGGAGACTAACAAGCACTGATATTACAGGATGTAAGACAAAAGCAATAAACTTACGCATTTATTGCTGAGGTGTGAAGAGTTGCCGAGTTTTATTCTTCCCCTGAGATGAGTGCTCTCCTAAGAAACAGAAAATACGTTTGCATCAGTTAAACATGCAAAGACAAAAAGACAAATGAGCCTAGCGGGAACACATCACCGACCACTGTACAAACCAGCCAGTCTCCTTGTTAGGCTTACTTAACCAGCAAAACCTGTCCACACAATACATTTTTACTACTTTCTCTGTGTTTTATAGCTTATTTCCCCTATGATTTGTTCTCAGACAGTGGGTTACTACCACAAAGTATTTCCAAGGTAGTTCTCAAGGGGCTAGAAAAGGCCTAAGACTTTAATTAATTTTTAAGTATGATTAGAACATTAAATTACAAAAAGATATAACTATAAAATTAATTTTCGCCAATATCGCTGACAGCAGCTCAGTTCCCCCAAAGCAGGAAAATGAACATTTAACAACTTCAGTCAGAGATTACAGACAGTTCTCACTCCTCCTTCCCTGGAGAAGTGGGGCTGCTGCCTGCAATTACAGGCAGACAAATAAGCCTCCAGATGAGCATGTGATCACAATTGTCCTATTTCCAAACACGTGTCCCAGAAACAGCAGTGGGATTTCTTTGGGTCAGAAGTTCGTATATGGAGATGAACAGGGAATGGCATCCCCAGACTGGACAGAGCCCCATGGAAACAGGCACGAGGGTGGGAAAACCCAAATGCCTCCAGGAAACTGCCTTCTGCCTCTCTGCTCACCTGCGGGAGACAATGTAATGCCTGACGCATACACGAGAAGCAGGAAAGAGACGTACTACATTCTAGCAAAAGTGAATATGTATTAAAAAGCTTGCATATGATCTATAGCCTGGGGTTGAAAATGGTAATACAAATTAGGATTATAACAAATTCACTGATTTGGCATTTAAATAATTAGCAGTCAAATTAAATAGTTGCACTCCTGAAGAAAATAGAAAAGACTCGTCAATGGTTTTCAGACAGTTTTTCTCGCAGCAAAAAGCGCTCTCTAATTTTAAGGGCAGCCTTTCGGAGATGAGTAGAAAACTTGTTATCTAATGGGGTTCAGTGAGAAACACTGAAAATTGTTCAAGAATAATGTGCTGGAATCGTGTTTGCTTCTCAAGTGTTCAATTTTGGATAAAAATATTTTAAAAATACTATAAAGTGTTGCTAAGTTAGAGCTTCAGAAGTTCTGGTGATGTTAAATTTCAGGTAAAAAGGCCTTCAGCAACTATTTCAGTAATTCATAATATAATTTTTTAGAGAAAAGGAAAGCACAAGTTTCTGGTAGAAAAAAATGAAACATTTCAACCAGATTTATACATTTTTGGTTAAAAGATAAATGTTTTTATTAGATAAAAATCTTATTTTGAAAAGCTGAAGTAAAATGAACCAGTTCAAATATTGTATAGTTTTGTACTAACAAAGGAATGACATTTTCAAGAACTCTCATTTCCTTTTAATTTATTTTTATTTATTTCTTCCTTTATTATTTCTTCCTTCTGCATGTTTTTACCTTCCTTGTTCAATATACAGAAGATTTAACAGGGCATAAAAGGGAGAAATTGGCAAGATTATTTAAAAAAGAAGGTGTAGGAGAAATCAATTGAGAAATATATTACCATGGAGAAGATAATATTCAATAGTTGTATTAAATATCAATACTTTGTTATCAGTTCCACTCTCAGCTGGTTGCTCTGCCTATGCTAGAAATTAGGCAGACTTACATGGAAGACCGATGCTTTGCACCACAGGAAAATAACATGTCTAAGGAGAGGCTCCAGACTTCCTGGTGCTATATATACAATCCCTGAAAACAGTGAACTGCCACAAACTACTGCTGGGGTCGATGTTCCCCTGGAAATATCAGTGATTGTCCAGTGAGGGTTCAATGCAGGTAGGGATGCCCTGGGTTGTTTTGCCACTGTGCTCCCACAGGGGCAGGAGCCTGCAAGAATTCTGAAACAATACCAAGTTATTGCTACTCCCTGGTTGCAAATGTGTCTGCAGATATTTGCATTACAGGGTCTATAACTATTAGTGCCAACTAACAATTCAGTGATGAAGACAGAACAATTATATACTGAAGAAGAAATGGTCACCCAGATGCTCTTTGTTCAAGAGTAACGAGAGTAAAACGCGGTTTTAGATACAGGGCTGCAGTTCACCTTAAGACTGCACAGAGAGGTGTCTAAACCAAATTTGGAGTCTAATGGCTCAGCAGTTTGATGTTGTGCTAAATATCCAGCTGCAACACAAAGAGCAGGTTAGTTGCAAGCGGGAAGACATTTTTATTGATTTCAACACAGCCTTAACTGACAGAAATAAATTCCAAGACTGCAAAAAACCAAACTTGCTCCAAAACCATCACCCACCAAAACCAATGGAACAGACCTTGCTTCCCATGAGGGAAATGAAAAACAAATACTTGTGTTTAGTATTTTGTTAAAACAGATGATATTTTAATCAACTGAAGAAATTATTTCACACCAAACTGTTTTGCCAATGGAGCAAATATGCACAGCAGTAGTGGTGCTCAACCAGTCTAGATAGGTTACCTGCATGCTTTGAAGGCAAAATTGCTGGAGAACATCATCAGTGAAAAACTGGCTTTTGTTAATTCCGGATTATGCATTTAGGGGAGGATGACACAACAACTACTGTTGCACGCTAGGAAGGTATCAAGAGGGACTTGAACCATCAGCTTCTCACAATACAGTTACGCAGCACCTTGCATAAAGGTATCGGTTGATCCAATTGTATAGGTACTATGGCAATAATTGTCTGATAATGAATTAAAAATGCATTGTGCATTTGTCTACTTTGATAAGTATATGAATGAACTGCAAAAAGTGGGAGATGAAGGGACGTAGAATAAAATATTTGGTGCGGTGAAAAAAGCGCTGCTAACTGCGCAGCTGCAAGTGCGACATGACCCCCTTTACCTGTGGTCCTGCCTTGAGACACCTCTCCCGATGGAGGAAGAGCTGTGGGCTCATATAGATTGGCAGAGGGCAGTGAGAAGCCAACCTCATATATATCACGCACTTCTACAAAAACTGAAAGAAATGATGCACAGTTTGAGAAAGAGGCCTTAGGCAGAATATTTGGAAAATGAAATCAGATTGATACTGACATGGCAGTTTTAGCTGACAAGCAAATCCTTCCATTAAACTTTTTACTCTCCCTCTCATCCACCACTGTTGCACCAGTTTGTTGATTTTTGTCTGAAATTGGATTGTAAACACAAAGACATAGGCACCATGAAGTCTCTAAACATTACTGTCATATAATACAGACAGATCTGTAGTTAACTGTCTAACTTATTGCCGCAGGAGACTGCGGATGCCACAGGGGGACAAGACAAATTAACGGAAGTAAAAGCCACTGAGAGCTACGAAGCACCAAAGACACAACCTCTCATTCAGGACATCTCCAAGCCACAGAGTGCTGGAAAGCTACAGCAGAGTCCGCAGCACCATACTCCTTCCCTATTTGTTGTCCTTCCCTTCACATCTCACGCTAGCCACCGTCAGTGACAGGATCTGGAGCTACGTAGGTCCAGGATCTGAGGAGGTACAGCTGGCTCAAATCACAGCTTCTTCACCTCAGTATCAAAAGAGAAGGTACTCTAGCAGCTACTGTAATACAGGACCAGTCTTTCATACACAGCCTCCCACGTGGCACCCCTCAAACACTTCTGCTGGAGCCCCGATTGCCAATTCACCCCCGTAAATTGGCGGTGTAGGCACTGGGCCTGACCCAATACGTGCTGCACACATTCTTCTCTTAAACTCAGTCATGCTTAAAGAGGATGATGATAAGGAAGATGTAATAGAGAAAATTCTGTATTCATAACTCCTGATCCTTCAACATATTTGTTTTAAGTGCATGGGAAGTAGACTGAGTACACAGATACTGAGGATTCTGCAAAGTTAAATGTTTAACCAGGAAAGTAATAAGCACTTCAATGAAAACACAAGGTTTTCTTCCTAATTAGAATTTCTCTTGTGCAGTGCTTGATTTGATTTTTTACTCTCACAAATATACTCATTTCTGACTATTAACGTTGCATCCTGATGCCAGTATATGTGAATAAGTAATGGACACACAATCAGCTGAAATTACAGATTGTATAAAATCAATTCTGAAACTCTGAAACAAACATTTCTTTGTCTCACCTTTGTGGAAGGCTACTGTATTAATCTCACTGTAATTCCACCCCCCCACATTTGATTCAGAATCTGAATATATTATTCATAATACACCTACACTGCAGGACATGATGATATAGAAGAGAGTTAACAGGTTGTATCTCTACAAGTACAGAAAGTCTTTGACCTGGGCAAAGCCCTCTTTGATGTTATTGGGAAAGCTGGAAGAAAAAGGATATAAAAAATAGTCTTTGACATAAAAAAATTGGTTGTACTGCACCTCAGATTACATGGTCTGTAAGAAAAAAACCTGACTTGTACTGTTATTTCACTGTAATATCTGCTGCTGAGAAATTGCTCATAAGTGGCAATCTGGTTTGGAGGAAAAAATTAAAGTAAGTTTTTCATAAAATATGATTGCAGAAACCTATTTTTTAAAAAAATATAAAACTACCTCTGGAGACACAGGATTCTAAACGTCTATCTTTACCATGCTGAACTAAAAGAAAGAGGGGTGCATTACAGATGCTGGAGAACAGCACTGAGCAGGACCCAGCGCCTGGATGCGCTGGCGGGGTTTGGTGTGGGCCAGCGGGGCCAGCACCTGCGACGTGCTGCAGCGCTCACCTGCCACGCACTTCACCTGTGCCCCTCCAAACTGCTCCTCAACGCTGTCAGCAGGATAGAGGGATCTGTACAATTCACGCCAGCAGAGAGAGTGCATATGGAAATGTTCAGGCGAAGGACAGGAAGGCAATTGCTGCTGAAATGCCAGCAGAGGGTGGGAGTGGCTCCCCCAACAGAGGAACACCTCAGAAAACCACAGGCTGGCAAGTTAGCAAACGCTCCACAGATGAAAACATCGCCTGACCCTCAGTGGTCTCTGGTTGTAAGAGA